TGCATTTGGCCTAACAGAAACATAAAGCACAAAGCAAATAGGTCATATTTAAGTACTAAGTTGAAATTCCTCTGGAGACTTAACAAGACTTTTCTACCTGGTAATGCTGAAATTTAAAGTAATATTTTAAAAAAATCTATTATACTCAGAATTACATGTCTTGGCAGTCAGGAACAGACACCATGTCATTTCCAAAAGCTTTGGAGTGATTGCTTATACAAGATTCCAGGAATGCTTTGTCACAATGAAGTTTATTCCATCCCTTGGAAATATTAAATGCATTCCTACCATAATGAAACACCTTATAAACACCACGTGACAGAAACATGGGGTTTAACAAAGCATTTCCTTCCAGCATCATACCATTCAGGCCCCTGACATGAATTTTATTATCAAATAAGTAACCACACAAGGAGGTTTGCTAATGCACCTCGGGCTGTGAGAGGACCCGGATGGAAGCAGCACCAGCCTCGAGTGCTTCCACCCCCAGACTCCCACCTAATGCTTGTCAGGCAGCTCCAAGCACTCCACATTTCCAAGATGTCATCTTGAGCATTAAATACAGTTTTAAGCACGACCCTGTACTACAAACAGCAATTCCTGTTGCTCACTGGCAAGTCATCCCTGTTTTGGGCAATACCTTTGGAATGTATTACCCACAGTATGCTGAATTACACCAGTATTGGGCAGATTTCCTAAGTTCTGCCTGAAAATCAGGATGTTTTGTCCAAGCAAGTGAAGTCACTGTTTAACAAGACCCCTCCTGTAACAATGGGTTTGCCCTTGTCATCACAGAACTCTATTTAACCAGGGCTGTGGACTCCAGGGGCTTCTGGGAAATGCCATTCCTCAACAAAGATGGGTTTTAAACTCCAGAGTGGTCTGAGGTTTGGACATATTTTAATGGCAAAGCTTCTACCAGCAAGGACCTCACCCTGCTACCAAAGAAGTCATGCAGCTCCATCATGTAAATGAGAAACCTGTACTTGCTGCAAATGCTCTCACATTACATCTGACCTGGTCTGCTCTAAAAAATCTCTTTTAAAGCCTTTAATCAAAAGAAAAAGTATTTTTGAGCTAGACTAAGTTTTGCTGGATCCAGGAATGCCATGTCCTTCCAGAGAAAGCTCAGGTCTGAAACTCATCATGCTCACAATCATGCAGGCCAGGCACAACACCCAGCCACATCCAGGATCCTGATCCCTGCTGTGGGGTGGGGAAAGAAAACAAGAGGCTCAACTCCTTTTTCTGCCACCTCAGAGCTTCAGCCCAGGATTTTCAATACCTCAACATTACAAAGGCCAGGAAGAATGAATATGGTCAGTGACATCACAACAATGTCATTGGAATGCTCCAGAAAAAAGCAGGCAAAAAGGGGAAATTAATCCCACCTGGTAATACTGGAATTGCACAAGGTTGCAACAAAGCAAGGAGACTACTGGGCCAAAACAGGCTACAGAGACACATCATGTGCTGTACTCAGAGCAGAAATAAATATGCCATTCTAAACATTTTCAAGTTTATTTTCAGAAAAAAAAAAAAAAAACTAGAGCAAAAATGGAAATAGCAATCTGATATAAAAAAAAATTTAAAAAATGAAGTGGCAGTGGATTATTTGGACAAAAGTTCAGAGAGGAAGAATATGGGGAAGACATTCAACTGTGGGAAAATACCTTTGGGAGGAGAAGCCTTTTGTTCCACAGCACCTCTATGTCTAGGTTTTTACAGTCCCTTGCTAACTTATTCTGCCAGCAGCTGGAAAAGCACCAGAAATCCGCCTGTTTACTTAGACAACTGAAATTCCAAATGCCATGGCAAATGGCTCTCTGCTCCACCTCATCACAGGGAGAGGATGGGAGGAATACTCCAGGGTTCACAAGCCTCAGCCAACCAAGAGCACAAGGTTAAGGGGTTATTCATGCCCCTATTTTTGCATTTGGAGAGCAAGGGGAATTCTTGTTGTGCGACACATAGAGACAAATCAGATTATGAGCATAAGTGCCAAATACTGTACAAAACCCACCATTAAACACCTGAAATCCTGCTTATGCTCAGACAAGAAAGAGCAAGTGTAAAATATTCTGAATATCTGAGACGTCCTAAAACCTGCCTGGTTCACTGCAGGTTCAGTGGCCTTAGGGAGGGCAAGTGATAAGAGTTTGGCACAGAGCAGATGTCTCCAAAAGCCCATTCCACATTAAGAAGTGAATCACAGGCTCTGTGAGCAGCAACTTAGCTACAAGTTAGCTCCTACTTCTGCAAAGTCCCCATCATATCAAATCCCTGCCCTGAAAAGCTCATGTTTTTTCACACACAGCTTTTATTTGGAAATGGCCAAATGGATGGGAGAAAAAATTTAATTTAGACCCTTCAACTATAGCCCTGTCAGCTAATAACTGCTCAAATGGAGTGTTTTAATGGAGTTATACCTGCCATGGCTCAGATACCTCCTTGCAAATACTCTGTGGCTCCCTGTTCCATTTTCCTTTCGCTGCAGCTGTAAAACAAAACCCCATTTATACCTTACACTTGATCATCAAAAAAATCACTCATTAGGGAGCACAAGACCCACAGCTGAAGTTTTCAGGCTGCACATTACATCTCCCTTGAACAAGTAAGTTCAAAGCACTCAAAAATGTAACCATAACCATCACTATTTGGTACCAAGAACCCACGGCAGACACACAGGGACCAAAGCCATCCAGTACTTGACTGGAACAAGTGAATCACAGCTCAGCAACCGAGGATCCGCAGCAGGATCCCGAGCCAATGTGACTCCAGAAAAGGTTTACTGAACCAGAAAAGCAGCAGCAGCAATCCTGGTCGGGTGCCAAACACAAGGAAATAAACAGAACAGAGCCCTGGAAGATTTCACCAGCAGCCACAGGAGTGAGGATGAGCAAATCCTGAAGCATCGGCCAACGTCGGGCCACTCACCTCAGAAGAGCCCAGAAATGTGATGGCAGGAAGCTGGCATTTAGCAGCCATGCACGGCAAATGAGTGCTTTCCTCCCCTCTCCTGGTGCATTCCAGGGCCTGAGTTGGTTTTGGGCCCCGAGTTTACACTCTCAACAGACAGACACTGTGCACCCTGATCTGCTAAACCAGGAGGAACTACGGCAAACGCCAGGCAGTAAGGGGAGCAGGAGAGCAGGCACGGGAAGGTCGGGGGTGGTTCTGCAGAGCCGGGCACAGGGGCAGCCTCCCAGAGCATCCCCGGGGATGGGGCAGAACAAGGGGCTCCTCACCTCAACCCATTCTCTCCACTACTTCTGCAACTCACTGGTCGAGCACACAAGCCAAACAGCTTCAGGGCAGTGTAGAAGGGGGCAAATCCACTCAGACCAGCAATCAGGACCTTCTCTAACAAATTAGTTCACGAAGAACATGCAGGTGAGTCCACCAGCCAGGTCTGGAAAATGCAGGAGCAGGAACACTCACAGCTCCTCACTGGCAGCAACTTTTCCACCACTTGTCTTATGCAAAGATAGGGAATATGTCAGAGTCTGTTCAATACAAACAGAATGGGCCATGACTTTTGCAATCTTAATCATTAAACACAGACTCTCTATTTTAATGGCTATTTGAAAGAGTAAAAAGCTGAAGGTCCCAACTGTTTGCATGTCTGCCTGCCAACTGTTTCCCTCCCTACATCAGGATCAATAACTGGGAGCAAAGAAACATCCCTGTTTAACCATGAGATCTTCTTTAACTGCAGGGTAATCAGCTAATCCGGGCAGACTCCTTTATTCAGCTTTACATGGGCAATGCTGTCATTAAAGTTATAAACTTTAATTTGACTCAAGGATTGCCATTTACTAATTTAGCACGCAAATATTTTTACAGCTGTTTGCATCAAGCTCCATATAAACTACAGGGGATTTATAGCACATAAAGCAATACTTTAAAGTTGCTTAGAGCCACTGCAGAGCACAGGACAGTTGGAGAAAAAAACATTCACTGAGGCATCTCGTGTTTAAAGAGATTTACCAACACACACAACCATCAAAACAACTGCTTTCTGGGCAATGGATCCCTCAATATTTAACATCCACAGATTTCTCATGCTATTCCCTTTGGCATACTGGAAAAGGGCAGCACTTCCTAGTGACTCTGGATAATGGTAGAGTACACGGGAACTAAAGAAATCCCATCACCTGAAGAAAAGTGAATTGCATCAGGAACTTTATGGTGAGCTGGAGCCAAACCCTGCCACGAACATTTAGAAAGGGATGCTAAACTGCTTCAACGGCTTGATTTTTTTTCCCCAAAAACTTAGGAGCCAAGAGATAAGACTGAGATACTTCGATCTAAAGAAGCTAAATGTTACTTCAAACTCTATTTCAGTTTTAAAGAGGCACGCTTAAAAACTGAGGGTAAAAAAAGTTACGGCTGTGAAGGGATTGCTCGTACCCCTCCTGGTCTGTGCTGGAAATAAACACAAGGTTCAACCTCTGTGTGTGGCGAGGGGGAAGGGAAGGGAGACGGCAACAAAACCAGAGCGGTGCCTCTCCTGGAATTCCAGGGCTTGCCATGGGCTCCGCGGGTTCGCGAAGGAGCTGGAGGAGCTACACCCCGCCAAACACCATGAAGACGGAGGAGAATAAAGAAAAAAAACCACAGATTACAGCCCCCAGCTCGCAACCACACAAAGAAAGAGGAGCCCTTTCAGTGCCAAAGGCCTCGTTCCCGACGCTTCCACAGCAGGAAGCGAGATCCCGGCCGGGCCCGAGGGGCCTCCCGGGAGAACGGGGTGCCGAGGAGCCCTCTCCAGCCCCAGGGGGTACCGAGAGGGGCCGTCCCCCCCGCCCCGCCAGATTCGGAGGACACCGAGTTAAACCCCCTGCAGCCCCGGGGGACGCTCAGGAGCGCCCCGCAGCCCCGGGGTTACCGACAATGTGTGCGAGGCCCTGCCCGCAGCAGGCCGCCGGCCCGTCCCGCTGCCCCCCACGCCCCTTCCCCGGCGCGTCCCCCCCAGTCCCGGCGCCGGGGGGCCGCACCTGGATGACCTCGTTGACCTCGCGGATGCACTCCACCATGTGCTGCAGGATCTGCTCGGCCGTCAGCACCTCGTAGCGATAATCCTCCTCCTGCTCGGGGCCGCCGCCGGGACCCGGCCCGCCGCCCAGGCCGCCACCGCCGCCGCCGCCGCCGGGGCCCAGCCCGCCCGTCTCGCTGCCCAACAGCCCGTCGCGCTCCCCGCCGACGCGCAGCCCGGGCTCCACCAGCTCTACTTCGCCCAGGTCCAGATTATCGTCGGGCTCGTCTTCCTCCTCGTCCTCCTCGTCCTCCTCCGCGCCGCTGTCCTCGCTGCACTCCTCGTCCTCGTCGAACTCGTAGTTGTACCCCTCGTCCGAGTCCATGGCGAGGCGCTGAGGGAGCGGCGGCGGCGCCCGCCGCCATCTCACCCCGCCCGCCGCCGCCGCCATCTTGGGTGCGCGACACGCCCCCGCCCGCCCTCAGGCCGGCGCCGCCATGTTGAGTGTGGCGCTGCGCCAGGGAACCACCGCGCCCACCGGGGTGGAAAAGATCTGCGAAAGCATCGACTGCAGCGTGAGGCACGACACCATCCTGTCAACCAGACCACGGCACTGAGTGCCACATCCAGTCCTTCCTTGGACACTTCCGTGGATGGGGATTCCAGCATCTCCCCATCCAATGCCTGACAACGCTTTCCATGAAAAAATTCCTCCTGGTGTCCAACCTGAGCCTCCCCTGGCACAGCTTGAGGACGTCTCCTCTTGTCCTGTTCCCTGGAAGCAGAGCCCGACCCCCCCCCAGCTGTCCCCTCCTGTCAGGAGCTGTGCAGAGCCACAAGGTCCCTCCTGAGCCTCCTTCTCTCCAGGCTGAGCCCCCAGCTCCCTCAGCTGCTCCTGGTGCTGCACAATATAAAGTGATTGGAATGGACCTTAAAGCTCATCTCATTCCACCCCCTGCCATGGCAGGGACACCTTCCACTGTCCCAGGGTGCCCCAAGCCCTGTCCAAACTGGCCTTGGGCACTGCCAGGGATGCAGGGGCAGCCACAACTGCTCTGGGCACCCTGTGCCAGGGCCTGCCCATCCTCACAGGGAGGAATTTCTCCCCAATATATAACCTAAATTTTCCCCTTTTCAGTTTGTACTCATTACTCTGCCCTATCCCTACAGTTTCTGATGAAGCTGGGGCGGTGGGGATTTGCAGGGGTTGCCAGCTTCTCCTTCTGCCCACCCCGTGATGGGACATGAGGTGGAGCTGGGGCATGGAGCCCTCATGAAATGTGCTGTGGACCAAGTGTGCAGAAGACTCCCAGTGCCACCATTAAATTGAGTGGTCTCTGGCAAGCGACTTGTGAGGAAAATATGATGCAAATGTGAGGGGAATGTGAGGGACAGGTATAGGAAAATAGGTTACACTGCCTCAAAATCAGAATAAAATTGCACTGAGACCCACCAGGCAGAAATTCCCAATCATTCCAGGGGCTAAACATGAGCCCACCATCCCTGGGGGGAGCCTGACTGTGCCAGGTCTCCAAGCTCTAGTGTTGCTTTCTAGTCCATGAAGATGGTACTACCTGGGTTTTCACTGGTGCCAGGTTTGATTCCCTCTATTGTCTGTTAATTGGCATTTTGCAGGGGGAAGAACACACAAGTGGTTTCATCCCCAGACCAGGGATAGACTTTTTTACCTCCTGGAGTTGACAAGCGCCCTGGGCAGTTCAGGAATGCCGTTCCCAGGTTGTCTCATCCCTGCCAGAGCCTCTCACCTGAACACTGAGCTGCTACAAAGGGCAGGGTGAACACTGAGGTGCTGCAGGAGCTGAGCACCCTTTGTCTCAGCCTTCCCTGCCTCCAGCATCAGCTGTGCTCAGCCTGATATGGAGGAGGCTCGCTGGGCTCATTGTCTGCAGCGTTCGGGGAGCTCACGGAACTCCGGTTGGCTTGGAAACAAGGCTGCAGTCTGGCCCAGAGGAGAACCAGCTGCTCCCCCCTCCCCACCACTGTTCAGCATGGATGTGAGAGCCTGGCACAGCCCCAGGAGGGCTCCAGGGTTACCTTCTCCCACTGGTGCTCACCTTCCACTTCCTCATGCCCTGGGGAATAATTTCTTGCCGGGGTGAAGTGGGGCCATTCGGATGTTGTGGTAATATTATTCACCCACTCTGCCTGGATGAAGATGACATTCATCAGGGCAGTATGTGGTGTAGGTGTGACAAATTTCATCAGCTCTTTGGGACAGGAGTCATCTGCTGCAGCAGGATCCTGCTTCCTGCTTCTGCCTCATACAAATCCCTTGTGAAACAGGAAGAAAATTAGAAGCCACATCCCAAAGTGTGTTTATTTCCTGCTAGAACACAGCATAATGATGGCCACAGTGGCAAGGGTTTACACATGCAGGTTTCCTCAGGGATCTGGGCAGATTAAGTGTCCAATGGCCTGGCAGAAGTCTCTAGAACCCTCACTGGTACCTGGCTGCATCCTCAGACACACAGGCAGCTCCCTGAGCTCTGCTTTGCCTGGATCAAGAGCAGAGGGTGTGGACTGGGCATGCACATTGCCTCATGCCATGCTACCCAGTCAATAAAGCCAGTTCTCTAATTACCCAACTTAGGTGGAATTGCAAAGGCCAGAGCTTTAATCATCCTGCCCTACATAAATGTAAGTAGCCCTGACTTGGTTCAGCTCCAGATGCACCATCTGGACATCTGCCAGGCTGGTCCCACGTCATGTGTGGGCTCAGGTGGTTCTCCAGGCCCTCACCCCATGCTTCTTCCCCAAGGGGGACTGTGTGTCACCCCCTGAGACTCTGAGCTAGTCCTGCCCAGCTGGTGGCATGCCCAGCTCCTGGCCAGCAATGACAAGGCACAAGCCATTTTGGGGCTGCTCATCTGGCCACAGGACCCCAAGAAAGGCACTGACCAAACAATGGGGTTTGGCTTTATTGGATTTTGGCAGCTTTGAACACAAAAACCCTTGGCTGAGGTGACCTTCCTCTCAGGGACAGACCTGGGAGAGTGTTTGGGAAGCAGCTGCTCCTGGGAGCAGGGACTGGCCATCTCCAAGTGCTCCAACAATCTCCTCACAGCCCTGTCCTGGCCCTGACCAAGGCTGCAGAGTTCAGCCCAGAGCCTTGCATGGAACCCAGAGAGAGGAGGTTCTGAGCCAGGCTGTGAGAGCTGAGGGTGCTCACCTGTACAAGAGAAGACTCCAGCGAGAGCTCAGAGTCCCTGCCAGAGCCTAAAAGGAGTCCAGGAGAGCTGGAGAGGGACTTGGGAGGAGGAATGGAGGGACAAGACTCAAGGAATGGCTTCCCACTGCGAAAGGGCAGGGTTAGACAGGATATTGGGGAGAAATTGTTCCCTGTGAGGGTGGAGAGGCCCTGGCACAGGCTGCCCAGAGCAGCTGTGGCTGCCCATGGAAGTGTCCAAGGCCAGGCTCAACAGGGCTTGGAACACCCTGGGCTAGTGGAAGGTGTCTCTATCCATGGCAGGGGGTGGAACAAGATGATCTTTAGAGGTAGGGACCTACCTTCCTACCCAAACCATGCTGTGATGGTTCTCTGATCCCAGTAATAAATATTTATAAACAGTGATGGGATCATCCCAATGACATCCCACAGATAAAGGAAACCAGTTCACCTTCTACAGTCCCAGCCTTATCTTTCCCAACTGCAAAACAGGCACCAGCATTTCGCAGCCAGTTACTCCAGCAACAGTTATACATCTCAAAAATACTCTTTGGAATGAAATTTTAGCCATGCCTTTTGCAAAAGGCCTTTCTTTATTTTTAAACTTCCAACCAATGGTCACATATGAAGCCCTGGTCACCCACCAGCTTCTTGTAGGTGGTTGGCAAAGGGTACCTGAGAAAAGCGGGGCAGCTGCTTTTAGCTCATTTGGAGAGGATCTGCACTGTCTCTGGAGATTTTAGGACTCCAGCTACTGAGGAAAGCCAAAAACTGCTCTTCTGCCCACTCTGAAAAATGATTTAGATCTCCATAGACACCTGGTGCTTTTTCACTTTATTCTTCCAAGAGCTTAATTACCCAAGTGATTCTAGTAACTGTTAACACTGAAGCTGACAAGCATAAAATATTGCCTTGCAATCACCTTGCTCCCCAAAGTTAAGCACATGCTTACAGGATTTATGGGACCATCACCTCTGGGCACAGGGAGTTTGTCACGGCGCATCCACAGGCTCTGATTGATTCCAGCTCAGCCCCACAGCCGTGACTGGGAGCAGCCAGGGACAGCAGCCACATGTACTCAGCCTCCACAAGAACTTGCAGCATCTCCTCGTGACGAGCCCTGATTCGTGATACCAAAATGCTGTGAAAGTGCTGGTGCCCCACACCACAAACCGCCTGCAGATTCAGGGTGAACCTCCCATCCCACCCAGCCTCTTTCCTGCTCCCTCATTCCTTGAGGAAGGCAGGATCTCTGGAGAAAGCCTTTCTTCTCCATCACCAGAGACACACAGAGTTCCCACGCTGGGAGAAAGGAAATCCAGAAGATTTCTCAATGTCTAGGGTTTGATTTTGGGTGACTGCACACTCCTTAACAACCTCAACCATAAGCATGGGCTGAGCAGCTCCTCAGATCACCACCCCAAAGTTGTGCAAGCTAGAGATAACCCAGAAGAAAAAAGGCTCTGTGATAACATCAACAGGGAAAACACCACCAGGCTGAGCTCGAGTCAGGACCCCAAATCCTCCACACTGATGAACACATCTCACTTCAAGCTTTTTGATTTAAACTCCACTCTTAAGCTCATAACTGTTGAAAAAGAAGAATTGATAAGCGGTGGTCTAGCTGGGAAGGTAGGGATGTGGAAATTAGTTATCCTGTGCTTTGAAAAGTGCTGGAATGCATCCCTGTAGCTCCAAAAGCATCCTGCCATACACCAGCTTGCTTTGGGCCCCCAATACATCAAGGTTCCTCATGGGCTGAGTTGTTAGAGCTGATGAAAATCCCCTGGATGTGGATTTAGCATCTCATGTTTAGGATCTTCTTTGTGCACGTGCTAAAGCTCCACCAAATGTCTCTGGGGGCTCCTGCTGGGTGTTTAAATGTGAGCACCCCTCTGCTTGATGACAAGCAACATCATCCCTGAGATACAAAGATGTGCAACAGGAGGGTCCACACCTGAAAAGACCTGGCACATGCTGACCACACTCCCTCCAGATCACCACCACAAGTAAAGACACTTCAACCCTGCAACCCTTGTGCTTGCAGCCCTTTACCAATTAAAGTGAAGGTAAACAAGCAAATGAAGACAGTAGTTTTGCCCAGAAAGAGATGCCAAAATTCAAGTTAGAGGTATTTCCAGCAGATGATCTGTGTTTTCCAAAGCCCTCTTCCAGCCACACCATCAACAAGTCCCTGGTCCCTTGAGTTGCTTCATTCAGGAGCAATTTTCCTAGACAGTGTTGG